CGAGTTCGGACTTTTTTTTCTCCGAGTTCGGACTTTTTTTTCTCCGAGTTCGGACTTTTTTTTCTCCGAGTTCGGACTTTTTTTTCTCCGAGTTCGGACTTTTTTTCCTCAGAGTTCGGACTTTTTTTCCTCAGAGTTCGGACTTTTTTTTCTCCGAGTTCGGACTTTTTTTTCTCCGAGTTCGGACTTTTTTCAGAACTCGGAGTGAAAAAAGTCAGAATTCTGAGATTAAAGTCAGAACTCTGACTTTTTTCCCATACTAAACTGAAATAAAATTTAAAAATCAGTTAATTATTTTTTTTTCAGTGGCCCTAATCCTCTTCCGTACTTCATCGGGTTTCTCCTTCCTCATAGTTTTCACTGTAGCTCAAAAGTTTCACATGATTTTCTGTTGCCGTATTTTTCACAATCTCTATAAAATACAGTGAATTTTTAAATTGAAATGTAACAAAATATGTAAAAGTTGGTTTAAAGTGGAGAGAGCAGCAATTAAATTTCATCCCGTTTGTTCTTTGCAGGTTGAAATGCCCTTACTGCCCCATGGAGCAGAACCCGTCACACGCCAAGCAGATCTACTTTTGATACCACCCCCCCTCCCCTCATCAAGGATGACGTTACTTGGAGCTCTTTGAATGTCCAGGACCCTTTGCTCTGGCCCCTGTCCTCTGCCCCCCCTCTGGCCTCTCGGCCTGTTTATCGTAAGCATTAAGGTTTTATCCCAGTGCTCCTCCGGACGGCAGTCCTGCAAACCCGCCTCGGACCTTCCAACTTTGCATAGAATAAAAATCCTGCACGGTTGGTTAAACGACAGCTTGTAGTCGAGTGACGCGTCGATCGGATCGTCATCGTGAAGAAGCACCTCTGAGAAAAGATCACCTGTTTAAATTCATTTGCCTGCAGAGTTATAGATTTATCATATTGCTTTCTACTATTTAGTTTTTTTCTTCTTTTTTAGTCTTGCAGGTTTTTTGTTTTTATTTTAAAAGCAGATGGGATGAATATAAATGGGTGTAGTGTTTTGAGTGAATGCCATAGATGGGCAGGGTCTGCTTTCAGGGTGGTAAGAATCGCTTTATTTAACACACGGAAGGCTTATTATTTCCTGGTTAAATGGGTGGGGGGGATTGAGAGTGTGGAGATCTCCCTTTAATCGAACTCTGGATTGCCTCCTCCATGTTGTACTAAAGGCCTAACAGCCTGAAATCCACTGGTTGATGATGAGTAAAACAATGAATTCTTCAGCGCGTGGATCAGCTTTCTTATTTCTCCTCTGTAACCGAATGCACCAGCAACATTTTTTTTTCTCATTATAGAAGCAATTTGTCTTGTTCTGTGTGTGTATTTAACAAAAGTGACAAAAAGAAATACAGCGTGCTACTGTGAAATGTGTTCTGTTCCTGTTTTTCTCCACCACCACCTCATGTAAAATAGTTTCCTCGCACAGCGAGACACTTAATCAGCACTATTGCGTAACTTTTAAAGTGAAGCGACTCAAAAAGCTTACTCCACTCGTGCCATCGCTTCGGTCTGTGTATGCTAAGCTAGCATGCCGTGTGATTTGGAGATGTAAATCGCTGTGATGGTAGCCTTATAGTACGACTAGCAGTGACTGTGGGTGGGCTTGTGAAGTCAAACTTGTGGTGGGTGGGTTAAGTCTTTTGGTCATCGTTGATGTTTTTGAATAAATATTTACGCAAGAATGCATCTCTTTGAGTCAGGATACAAACAGTAAGATCTTCACATTTCCTCAGGGTTCATTGGTAATATCTCATACCACACTTTACATTTAGTATTAAATAATGTACATTTATATAAGGAGTCATATATTCCGTTTTATCACATCTGATGCTAATAGTCGTGGGCGTTTCATGCAGTTTGTACATATTCATCCTGTTATGTGTCATGCTACATTTGGAGGAGGTGTCGAAGGCAGCTGGACGCACAGCACGGTTCCCTCTGCAGCACGCCGCTGTCAGGTGCATCGCTTAACGTCTCCAGCGTTTTGATCTTTTTCGCCTCTTTGGGTCGACATCCACTCACAGCTTCTCTGATAGAATGCCAGCCTGTTTTAAACTCATGTTTTTTGTTTTTTTTTTATAAATGTTTTGCCTTTCCTGCTTTTTGTGTGTTATGCAACTTTTACTGTAAATAATTATCCGCTAACATGTTTCATATATTTGCATCTGATATTCAAAAATAAAAGAAAATATATACTCCAGTCAGTTTTGGGGGAACTGCTTCCAACTTTGAAATACCAAAACATATCTCTCAATCACCACTTGGTGGCACAGATGCTACATTGTGACTATTTGACTTAAATTTAGAGAAATTACAACTGGGACCACTTTTCCTGATGGAATATATATTTGAGAATCATTTTAGTTTTCTTTAGATAAACAGCAGCGATGGAATCCAGCACAGCAACACTCCCACAGAGTGGAAAAACATGAGATAAGAGTCTTTTCTCTGCCCACTTCAGTAAATCACTCAGCCTCTCTGGAGCTGTGCAGTTATATTAATCCCCAGTTTATATAATGCTTTAAATGTCGGGCTAAGGGCCACATGAGTCAGAGGAGCTTGTATCTGTTCAGATTAGGACCCAGCATAACACAAACCTGCTTTACTAACTCGCTCATTCTCTATTCTTATTGGTTTCATTACATCCACAGGATATTTCACTTAGAAAAGCAGTCATTTTTGTTTCTTAAAATTTCAGAATTAGCCTTTGAGCATTTTGAACAATAGTATTTTCAATCTGTGCACGAGATAAATAGGACTTTATGCACATCTGGCCCATAAAGCTCCTCTCTATTGGTCTAATGTTCTCCTGATTAGACACCTTAACCAGAATCTTTTAGTATGGAAGCCTGTTTCCGCCACTCTGTAAAAAAAGAAAAAAAAATTATCTCATTATAATGAGATGGTAACTCAATATAATGAGATACTATTTCATTATAATGAGATACTATCTCATTATGAGTTAGCATCTCATTATAATGAGATGCTAACTCAATATAATGAGATACTATCTCAACATAACAAGATGCTATCTCAATATAATGAGATGCTAACTCAATATAATGAGATAGTATCTCATATTGAGATAGTATCTCAATATATTGAGTTACCATCCCATTATAATGAAATAGTATATCATAATGAGACGCTAACTCAATATGAGATAGTATCTTGTTATATTGAGATAGCATCTCAATATATTGAGATAGTATCTCAATATATTGAGATAGTATCTCAATATATTGAGTTACCATCTCATTATAATGAAATAGTATCTTGTTATATTGAGATAGCATCTCAATATATTGAGTTGGCATCTCATTATAATGAGATACTATTTCATTATAATGAGATGGTAACTCAATATAATGAGATACTATCTTAATATGAGATACTATCTCATTATATTGAGTTAGCATCTCATTATATTGAGATATTTTTATTTTTACAGAGTGGCGGCAACTGGCTTCCATACTTTAGTGCAGGGCTCCCAAAGCGGGAGTCATAAAATAGTATCTCATAATGAGACGCTAACTCAATATAATGAGATAGTATCTCATTATATTGAGTTACCATCTCATTATAATGAAATAGTATCTCATTATAATGAGATGCTAACTCAATATATTGAGATGCTATCTCAATATAACAAGATACTATCTCATTATATTGAGATAGCATCTCAATATATTGAGAGAGTATCTCATATTGAGTTAGCATCTCATTATAATGAGATACTATTTCATTATAATGAGATGGTAACTCAATATATTGAGATACTATCTCATTATATTGAGTTAGCGTCTCATTATAATGAGATACTATTTCATTATAATGAGATGGTAACTCAATATATTGAGTTACCATCTCATTATAATGAGATAGTATCTTGTTATATTGAGATAGCATCTCAATATATTGAGTTAGCATCTCATTATAATGAGATACTATTTCATTATAATGAGATGGTAACTCAATATAATGAGATACTATCTCATTATATTGAGATATTTTTATTTATGGCGGCAACTGGCTTCCATACTTTAGTGCAGGGCTCCCAAAGCGGGAGTCGTAAAATGATTTTCATATGTGAGGTGATTCCTGAAGTTTATGCAGGGCCAACATATATCATGTGATACATAAATGCTAATGTAGACGACTATACGAAAAAAAATGATCAATTTTGTTTATATAAATTCACTTTTATGGTAAATATACCATAAAATAATAAAACGCACAACTAAATAATTAAATGTCATCAAATTATTTAAGCCATTTTAAATTATGAATTAAATGTTGATTTGAAATTGTTTTTAGGGGTTCAAGAGTTTTATTTTTTATTTTTAGGCTTACAGCCTGAAAAGGTTGAGAACCTATGAATTCAGACCAACTTCTTCACATTGAATGCAAAACAAATATTTATTCTGTACATTATAATTCCAGTAAATCAACAAGTCACAGTATATTCAAAGAGCAACAGGGAACTGGCTTGAGAATATTTATAATTATTAAAGAATATAACTTTTCTACTTCAGTCATGCATTTAGAAGGGTTAACTTGGTGTCTATTTACAGGTAGTGGTTTGCTTTTACCACCTTCAAACCACGTGGAAGTCGACCGATTTCACAGAGTTGAGACGAGTCTCTTTGGAGTACAACAATGAGAGGCTAATGAAAGTGCAGATATGTACAACATTTGACCTCATGAATGAAATAAGTTGAAAAGAAGTGACACAGAAGTTTTTTTTCATTACCAAACCATTAACTCAGCTGAAAAACAAGTGCTGCTATCAATCTGCAAGCAAATAACAGACCGAGATTTTTTGCAAACCTCTCCTGGTAAAGACTTTTCAACTATTCCAGTTTATTTCTTTATTACCTGCCTGCAATAAGTGGTTCTATTTGGAGCAGAGTTTAGAAGCGTCTGTCCTCTTCCTGCAGCTTTTGATTAATAACTGCCATATTACTGGTTTTGCACAATAATCATTGCTATAAAAAAGAGGTCTTTTTTCACTTTAACAGTTTGTTTTGTTCTAAAAACAAAACCAAAAACCTCATCCAGTAGCCAGGTTCGCGACAAACTCTGACTTTAGAATCCAACATGGCTGCCGTGCATATAAACCAAGTGATAGTCAGAGTAACAACGAGCTCATTTGTAGCCTTAACCTGAATCTCACTCAGAAATGGTTCTTCCAAATATAGATGCGTTAGAATAAAGATTTGGGCTCTACATTCCAGACCCTTCACTAATTTCCTTGTAGTTTGCATATAATGAGAGTATTATTTTTTAGAGTTTGTCTACCCGAGGAGGAGAACCTCAGTTTAAACATTGCAGCCCTGAAAAATCGATGCCTGATTCTAAGATTTGTTAAAGTGCAGCCAACATTTCTGCATCCACCGAGCTCTATGATGGAAGATAAAAAGCTGGAAGGGAGAGAAAAGTCTTCCTGGTATCTGTCAGAAAATGACTTCAATTTCATTCTATCAGCTGAAGACAAACAATTATCCTTTGGGCTCATTTTCTATCTAAAGTTGCATTCTGATTGAGGGAACTGACCAAACTCTAGCTCTCTGGTAAAGCTTTAGCTTCCAACAAACCAGTCCAGCTGATCCCACGTCAACAAGTACAAGAGCTCCATAAACAGACCCTGTGTTTATTTTTAAGATCCTCTAATATATCAGTTTGAAAAAAGTGACAAATAAGCTGATTTGAAGGATTCTTAGTATAGGCAGCACCTTTTCTGTGATCTCACAGTTACTCTGCTGAGCTCTGACTCAGACGGGAGGTGGAGTGAACATTGATGCTCCAATCATCTGCAGAAAAAGGGCAATAATACAATCAAGGGTCCGACAGGAATCTAAGAAGAATTTCTCTAGCATGAAAATACAAAAACTACATGAGAAAAGGAAAAACAATGATCCTATCTAAAGATTGTCTTCCAGAGGTTTCACTTTGTTCGTTTTTCTAACCATTTTATTTCATTGGTTCCCAAATGTAACTAATTTTAATCTGTATTGAGGTCAACAAATGCATATTTTACAACAGTGTGAAAAAGTGACCTAAATCAGGTTATTCTTTGGTCCAATGAGAGCCACCCGTTTGTGCAGTTAAGTTATTTTTCATTGACTGTTTCATTAAATTTCTTTTTGAGGAGTCCATTTGTCTTCTGATTTATTCCAAATTTGTCGCCTTGTGTTTGTTTTTTCTCTAAACTTTGATCTGATTTCGTTCTTCCATCGGTCAGTGAAGACAGTTTGCATTGCAAACAAGTGTGTCTCATTCAAATTTCAGACGATTCAATCCTGTCTATCCAGGGCAGACTGGAGGAAGGTGTGTCCTCTTGTTTTCCTGTCGCTCTCTCAGCTGACGGCTCTGGCGCCTCCCTCTCCAACGTCCCATCCCTGCTCCCCCCTCCCCTTCCTTCTCGAGCCCGGCCCGCCCTCAGCTGCTGCAGCTCCCTCTCCAGGGCTTCGTTGCGGTGGTACATCTCCAAGTAGCTGGCCTGCAGCTCCTTCTGGTAGCGGATGACCTTGTCTTTCTCCGTCTGCCATGTGTGCCTCTCCTCCTCGAAGGCCGTGGCCTGGGCTTCGCTCTGGCGACGCTCCAGTAGCAGCTCTGCTCGCAGACGCTCCTCTGTGGGGCCTCCTGCAAAGGAGAAGTTCATGTGTTCATATATAGAAGGTGATGAAAGCTACTAGCTTCTGGTAAACTTTCAAAGCGCTTCACTCCTGACCTGCTTACACAGCTGGAACCTGATTTAAGATTTCAACTGAAACATAAAAGGCATTAGTGAGTGACAGATACCCGCTGGTCTCGCTGATGGAGTCTCTTCTGCTTCTTTTTTGTTTTCCCCTTCGGAGGAACACCTGCCGGGCTTCGTCCCCTGCAGCAGGAGCTTCAGAGCATCTATCTGGGCCTCCCTGTTGCGCAGCTCCGTCCGCGTTTCCCTCAGCTGTGTCTTCAGCTTGAAGATCTCACTCAGCTTCTGGGTCACTTCTGCCTGTGAGTCTCTGAGCTGCTGCTTCAGCAACGAGATCTCCCCCGATTTCTGACACACCTGAAACATTCAACAATGGCAAATAAGATCAGTTCTCTTTGGGACTCATTTTTTCCTTTAAAGGTATAGAGGAAGATCTGGGTCTATTTCTGGGTGGATCATCTTAATAAGTGGTCCTCCTAATTGTCAATCATTCTGGTGAAATGTTTATGTAAGGCCGTCCTACAAACTCATCCCGTTCGCTATCTTTTTCTGTGCATGCGCACTTTCAGGCGTATATCTTTGGCGAGCTACGGTTTCAGACAGTCATTGAAGATCACCTTTCTCACCGCAGTTCTTTGAAAATAGCTTAAGGTCGTAAGAGAAAAAGTGTCTACGAAGTGCATAAGAAGAAAAGAACAGGGGGCTCTCCTCGCAAACCATTATGAGATTTGCTGTCACAGCGGACTAATAACAAAGATGGCGCAGGCACCATGCAGTGGAGGAGGAGTTAAGTACCAATGGGGAGCTAAAAGCAGTGATCATCTGTCCGAACGGTCAGTTAACTGAGTTCGCTATAAAGTCCACCATATAGTCCCCGCTCTATAGAGGGATTGAGGGATTTAGGGGTTAGGGCGGACGTTCGGACACAGTAAACTTGTATGAGCTATGAGAACAGCAACTTTTAAACTGAGCGTGCACGAGGAGAAATGGGCTCGTGCACACTCTCTTGCATTTAATAGGTGATCCCTCTCGGGAGCGGGTACAGGGTTTTGTATGGAAGCAAATCGTTACCATATTTCAAATGAAAAAGCATTTCCAGAAATGCTTTTTCATTTTAAGAATGTGGCTGCATTGTTTGACTCATAAATGAAATCAGTAATCAATAATCCTGTTTGCATTTTCATTTTCTTCTTCAACACCCCTCATCCTTTTACTTAATTAAAATGAAAATGAAAAAGACATTTGAGATTTATTTTTCAAAATGTACCCCAGCAAATACATACCAAAATTCTATTTGAAATGTAAAATTTGAAAATGAAAAAGCTTTTCTGGAAACGCTTTTTCATTTGAAATATGGTAACGATTTGCTTCCATAGTTTTGCATGTGCATTTTATTAAAGTGGAGAGGGCGGGTCTTTTTAAAAATTCGCAAAAATCCTCCACAATACCTTTAAAGCTACAGTGTGTAATTTTTAGCGGCATCTAGTGGTCAGACTGCAGACTGCAGCAACATGAACATCCCCCCCCCCAACAGTACGGCGAGC